CAACATGCCCGGCCCTGATTTTCAGATCTGTGTAGGCCAGTGATTCCCAGCAGGCTCTTCTGGGGGAAGGTGCCTGCCCTAGCACCCAGCCCCAGGCTGGCTGCTGTAGTCAACATGGAGTGCCGCGAATCTGCATCTTCAGCCTGGGCAGAGCCAGGACAGATGTGCAGCTCTGACTGACTGGCTGGTGGGGTGGGTGGGGCATCGCCGGGGTTTGACCGAGGCAGATGACACCTGCTGTGTTCCACTGTGATTTGCAGGCCGGCCCTCCAGCATGTACTTCCAGACCCATGACCAGATTGGCATGATCAGTGCCGGCCCCAGCCACGTGGCTGCCATGAACATTCCCATCCCCTTCAACCTGGTCATGCCGCCCATGCCACCGCCTGGCTATTTTGGACAAGCCAACGGGCCCGCTGCAGGTAAGCATCCATGGCCGTGGCCGAGTGTGGCCCTCCTGAGAGCTCTCGAGGGTGTGCTTGTTTGCGAGGCCCTGGCCTCCTTGGGATCACCCTGGACTGCTGTCTTTCAGGCCGAGGCACCCCGAAAGGCAAGACTGGCCGTGGGGGACGCCAGAAGAACCGCTTTGGGCTTCCTGGGCCCAGCCAGACCAACCTCCCCAACAGCCAAGCCAGCCAGGATGTGGCGTCACAGCCCTTCTCTCAGGGCGCCCTGACGCAGGGCTACATCTCCATGAGCCAGCCCTCCCAGATGAGCCAGCCCGGCCTCTCCCAGCCGGAACTGTCCCAGGTGAGCCCGCCCCATGCACAGAGCCCTCTTGCAGCCCTGGGACAGGACTTGCCTGAGTGAGAGTGGGGCTGTGCACCTGGAACGTGCCCTCTGAAGAGCCCGAGAGCTGGCCTGGCCCATGTCCACTGTCCAAATTACCTGTCCCTGGGCTAGGGTCATCAGAGTGGATCTCCTGGGTCTTAATTTGGGGACGGATTTTCCATTCTCTTCTCTGGGCTGCTGAGGGCTGGGTGGATGTGAGCACCCTTGGCCTGTGGCTTGCTTACCTCCTGACATTGTCTTTCAGGACAGTTACCTTGGTGACGAGTTTAAATCACAAATCGACGTGGCGCTCTCGCAGGACTCCACGTACCAAGGAGAGAGGGCGTACCAGCATGGCGGGGTGACGGGGCTGTCCCAGTACTAAAAGGCAAGCCCCCCTGGAGCAGGCCTGGCCCCATCCCAGCCTCCAGGGAGCTGCTGGGGAGGGGTGGTATCTGGAAATGCATGCTGTCCCCAGTGGGGTCACAGGCCCGCAGGCCTTCACCACCAGTCAGGGTGGCTCCATGTGTTGCCCAGTCACAGCCCCACTTTCCCCTTGAAAGAATTCTAGGGCTCCCCACGGAAAGGGATGTGGAGGCACCCCACCCTACCCCATCCTGGCGGGTAGCCCTTTGGTCGCGGGACCTGTTTCCTCGTCAGAGTAGGGGAGAGCAGCTCGAGCTCTCCCTCGCTGTCCCGTGTGCTGGGTACCTGTGGGGCTCTGCGCGCCGCCTCTCACCGCCTCCTGCCCTTCTCCCTCCTGACAGGTGGCGGCGGAAGAGCTAAGCAACGTGGCTTAGTCCATCAGCATCTTATTCTGGGTAATAAAAAATAAAAATAAACGGATACCTGTTTTCCACTGCTAAAACTGAAGCACCACTGTGTGAGCGACAGGAAGGGAGAGCGCACGAGGGAGAGGAGCCGAGGCCGAGCGCCCCCTGCTGGCCCGCGGCGGCGAGGAGCAGAGGGAGCGGAGGAGGGGCCGGCCCGCGGGAGCCGCCGCCACCAGGAGGCCCCGCTCCGTCCCACCGGGGCTGCGGCCAGGGCGGAGGGAGGAAGACCCTCATCTCAGAGTAGCCCTTTCCTCTGTTCTTTTATTTCTTTTTCTCTTTGATTGAAAGGGGACTACGTCTTAGCAGGAAAAAACTTCGCATTTCTGTGCCCGCGCAGGCTCCTTGCAAAGACGGCGGCGCGGGGCAGAGCCCCGGGAGGGCGCATCTGTCCACGCCTACCAGACGCGCCGAGGTCACGCTGCCTGTGTTCTCCGAGGGCCTTCATTTAAAGAAAATAAGGGTGTTTGGGGTTTTTCTGTTTGTTTTTTCAAGATTCTTTTAAAGGAGTACTGAAGAATACTTTCCTAAGTTTGTCTCTAAAATCTTAGCGGTGGACCTGGGAGATGTGAGAAGCTTCCAGAAACAGTTTGAACAAGCCAGCGCCACTGGAGAAGAGGAGCAACACCTGTGCCGCGGCCTGGAGGAGGATTTTTGTTGCTGGTTTTAGCTTCCGGTGGCTTCTTGCTGCGGGGCATCGGGCCTCTGGGGTAGCCGCCCACCGAGCCTGGAAGCTGCTCGTTCTCCACTGGACTCAGAAGCCAAGCCGCTTCCCGCCCGGACTCGGCGCAGGGTCCTGCACCTGTGAGGAAGGTGCTTTTGGCCCCATTGCGAGGGGCCTTGGCTAGGACTGGCCCTGTGGCCAGGGGGCGAGAAGGTGGCTGTTCCCGGATCGACGGCTTTTTCCCGGGGGCCTTTGGAAGATTTGGTGGAAGGACAAGAGGGCCTGTCCCTGTCCCCAGGAGGCACCGACAGTCCCTGTACTGGTTAGACACACGGAGCGCTGCACACCGAAAGCCCAAATTGGGAGCTCTGCCTGCCGGCAGTTTTGCTGAGGGGGTGATCGCTGCTTCTGGGGGGTAAGGAAACAAGTTACAGGAATTACTGCGTTCTGTGTGAAGGGGCTGGGGGGTGTGGTGTCATTGGCAGAGGGTCGTTTTAGTTAGGAGAGCTGCCTCAGCCCCTCGAACCCCTGGCTTGGGGTGTCATTCCGCCTGGCGGCCAGGCCTCCAGCCTGCCCTGGCCCGGGCCCGGGCCTGTCACTTGCCCTGAGCTGAACACTTCCAGATTCCAGCTTCTACATGGGACAGACGGGGACGCACAGGCCACCTTCCTTCTGGCAGGGACTCTTATTTATTCCCATTGCTCTAGGGCTTTCGGTTTCCCCTTCTTCCGGTAGGCCGCGTAGAGGCATGCACCACGCACCGGGTAGGCTTCTGCGGTGACCCCGCGGCGGCCTGAGGGACGCTGCCTGCCCCATCCCGGCTGTTGGGCTGGGCCGCTTTGCCTCTGCTTCGCCCTGTGCTGTGTTCTCCAGCTTTGTAGCAGCGGCCTTGACAAACCCAGGCGCACCGTACCAAGGCAATGTAACTTTTGATTTTCGGTCAATTTAAGTTCTTTTGTCACCAATAAAATATTAAACAGTTTTGCCTTCACACCAAGGATTGGATAAACTGCAGGGGGCGGAGGGTGTTGGGGGCGGGGGTTCCCTGGCCGAGTGAGGGGTTGGGGTGTGAAGGAGGCCAGAGGGAGACAGGCAAAGCCCAGAAAGGGCAGGTCTGCCTTGCAGGACTGAGGAAGGGCGACCCCTGCCCCTGGGCCCCTCCCATGGGCAGCACCTGGGCCTGTCGGGAAGGCTCCCGGGAGTGGCGGGTTAGGCCTCGGGTAAGTGACCTGGAAGTGGAAAGGCCTTTCCCATCACCAAGGCCGAGGGGCGCTCTCCTCAACCCCAGGCAAAGGAGTCCAAGGAGACCAGCAGAGCAGACCACGCGACGTTTATTGTTGGGCCCGCGTCCTCGCCCGCCCCGCGTTAGCGGCAGCCGCACTCGTCCACCACCATGTCCTCATACTGCCGCAGCACCACGTTGTCACTGTTGTCAAAGAAGAGCACGGAGATGGGCGACAGGCGCGCGGGCACGCAGCAAGGCAAGTCGGCGGCTCCCGGGGCGGTTGCGTGCATGAGCGCGCGCAGCACAGCGTGGTTGAGCGCCGGCGGCCCCCCGGACCCCGACAGCGTGACAGGGAGCGCGCACTGACCCTGGCAGTAGTTGGCCAGGAAGCCACGCGGCGCAATGACCCAGCGGTGCCAGCCCACCTCGCGGAAGCTCACGTACAGCCGCCGCGCGCGACAAGCGCCCCCAGGGCCGCCGCCCAACACGGGTTCGGCGTCGCGCCGCGGCCGGGCCAGGGGGTGGCACAGGCGCGGGTCGAGGGTCACCAGTAGCAGCGAGGCCTCGGCCAGGCGCGCACAGGCGGCAGGGGTCCGGGGTCGCAGCGCCAGCGCCAGGCGGAGGCTGTGCGGCCATGAGGCGTTGCGAGCCCAAGCGGTGCCCAGCAGCTCCGCGCGCACTGGCGGCCCCAGGGCGGGCACCAACTGGCGGAGCAGTATCGGCCCGGGGCCTGCGCCCATCCCCTGGCCCGCCTGCGACACGCTCAGCTCCCAGCCGCCCTCCGGGGCCGCCGCCGCCGCGAAACGCAGCTCCAGGCGGGCCCGGCTCGGGCGCTCAGCGGGTTCCACAGCCGACAGGTCGAAGACGACTGTCCACTCAGGGCAATGCCCCACAGCTGAGGCAGGATCCGAGGCCCGGGTGGGCGCACCTGGGGAGGTAGGGACAGGACTTGGCTCGCGCTGCGTCCCCGGCCTGCCCATGGGGTCTCGGTTAGGGACAGGGAGGAAGGTGAACGCTGCGGCTCGGGAGGCACTGTCTGTAGGAAGGGGGTGAAGCGGTGGGGTGGGCTGATGGAGTGGGGGCAGGGCATGAGTCCCAAGGAAGGCGCCCTGCGGCGAGTGGTGGGCTGCCCTCGGCGGGGGACATAGGAGGGAGGGGTGACCGAAGTGGGAGACATGAGCCAGAGCCTGGGCCCCTGGGGAAGCTATGCTAGGGTGTGGGGGTGGCATCTGCAGGAAGGCATTAAATAGTGTCAAGTGGCGGGGGTGGGGATGGGCTGGGGGCAGGGCTTCAGCATCAAGCAGGGGAACTGGTCTTGGGAACCCCCTGATGTGTCCCCGGCGTGCAGAGGGTGAGGAAAGGGTCGGGTGCGGTGGCCGAAGTTGCTAGCAGCCTGTACAGGGTGGCTGGGGACCTTCGGAGTCGCTCGGGCATCCCCGGGCCACTCTCGAGGCTCGCCCCGCGAGGTCTGACCTCCAGGACCAGTGCCCCCAGCGAAAGCCCCACTCACCGCGGTCCGGGATGTGGCGCACGATGTTTCCGGCGACCCCCAGCTCCTCCACGTGGCACGGTTGCAGGGTGACCCCTGGGGACATCCGCCGCGAGCCAGACCTGGTTTCCTGGGGGTCCCGGCGTCGAAACAGGCGCCACATGACCGGGGGAACCGGCCGGAGCCTGGGGGCGCCCTGGGGCGCATCGCGCAGCCCGAGAGCCTGGAGCAGGGCGGCGGCTGGGCCTGGGGGGACGGGGGCGCGGGTCGGGGGTAGCGAGGGCAGCAGGAGGACCAGGAGGAGGAGGAGGTGTTGGCCGCCGGGACCTTGCCGCGGCGGTAGCATCTTCCTCCCAGGTGATGGCCAGAGAGTGCACAGGGTCCGCCGCGGCCCGGGACCAGTGGGCTGAGGGTGGGGTCAGTGTCCCGGGAGGGGCAGGGGTCCTGGGGGGGCGTGGCCAGGGAATGAAGGCAGGATGAGGGGGCGGGGGCCCAGGGGAGGTGGCCACGGCCCTAGAGGCGTGGAGTTGGAGGGGGTGGAGGGGCACCAAGGACGGGGGGCGTGGCCGGGGTATTCGGGGTGGGGCCGGGTCCACGGGGGCGGGGCCGAGGGATTCAGAAGCGCTTGTCCTTCACCAGGCCGTTCCTCAGTGGCTTCCTGGGGGCCAGAACCAGCGTAGGTTAGCCTGGGAGCCCCACGCGGCCGCCTGGCCCTCTTTCCTGCTGCTTCCCTGACCGTTTCACATCCCCCAGCTCCTCTTACCCAGCCAGGCCCGGGCCTCTCCTTCACCCTGCCTCTCCTTCACCCTGCCCCGTAGGCATGTATGCCCCTCCTGTCACCCTGGCACTTCCTCCTTGCTTCCCTCTCCCCAGTTAAACCTTCCTCTTCCCCTCCTCCCTGCCTCTCCAGGTCGCTGCAGGGCAAAAGCCACGCACCAGCCTGGGCCTGACCACTCCACCGCCTCCGCAGTGAGACCCTGCACAATCCTCCTCTCCTCTGCCACCCACCCCACGAAGGCTCGTCCTTGGCTCCAGTGGCCCTGGCTGGCATCTGCTGCCCCCTACTTCCCCCTTTTTTTTTTTTTGAGACAGGGTCTTACTCTGTGGTCCAGGTTAGAGCTGTGGCACTGTCATAGTTGGCTGTAGCTTCAACCTCCAAGGCTCAATGGATCCTCCCACCTCAGCCTCCAGAGTAGCTGGGATTACAGGGGCACGCCACCACTCCCTTTTTTTTTGAGACAGAATCTTGCTCTGTTGCCCAGGCTGGAATGTGGTGGCACAATCTCAGCTCACTGGAACCTCTGCTTACTGGGTTGAAGTGAGTCTCCTGCCTCAGCCTCCCGAGTAGTGTGGTGGTGCCTGCTAATTTTTTATTTTTAGTAGAGAGGATTTCACTGTATCACCCAGGCTGGTCTTGAACTCCTGACCTCAGGTGATCTGCCCACCTTGGCCTCCCAAAGTGCTGGGATTACAGGCGTGAGCCACAGTGCCTGGCCCCAGGTAACATTTTTATTGTTTGTTGAGATGAGGGCGCTATGTTGTAGAGGTGAGGTGGTTATGTTGCCCAGGCTGGTCTCAAACTCCTGGGCTCAAGCAGTCAGCGCGCCTCCACCTCCCAAAGGGCTTTTGTCACTTTCATTTGCTCTTCTCTTAGGCTGAAGCTCAGCTTCTCTGCATGCATTCCACAGCCAACTGGCTGTCCCCATCGATGGCTGTTGGTCTTTATCTGAGAGGAGATAAGCCCTGCTTGGACCTCCCATCTGTCACTTGTCTTCTGACTTTGCCTGCGATGCTTGAGACCGTGAGTGGTGTTTCTTCATCCACCCTTGTGGCTTCTCAATTCTTCCCATAAACAAACCTCCATGGCACACTCTCCTTTTGGCTCTGGGATGACTCCAGGGATTCCGTTTCTGCATCGACACCTTTGGTACAAGGTGGGGGTTTGCTCTGAGGCTTACGAGAAACAAAGACACGCCCTCACTGTGTTCCAGAGGGTCCCCACGCTTTCCGTTCCTGCTCTCCAGGATGGTCTTTAGTATTTGCCAAAGGTTTTAAGGTCTTAGGTCAGTTTCTCCACTCAGTTCCCACAGAGAGTATAGATTCCTCTAATGGTAAAGTTTAGCATCCTTGGTGATGGGTGCCCCCAACCTGGGCCTTTTTATCAGAGCTTTCCTGCTGTTTCTTGTTTGTTTTTTCTGCACAAGCTTCAAAGTGTTCTTTACCCACTCAGAAACAGCTGTCAGTATTTGCCTTTTAGGGTGTGGGTGGGGGTGTACCCACCTTGGGGGAGATAGCTTTTCTGTTTTTCTTCTTGTTTTTTTTCTTTTTTTTTTTTTGAGATGGAGTCTTGCTCTGTCGCCCAGGCTGGAGTGTAGTGGTGCAATCTCGGCTCACTGCAACCTCCGCCTCCCAGGTTCACACCATTCTCCTGCCTCAGCCTTCCAAGTAGCTGGATTACAGGCGTTCACCACCATGCCTGGGGTAATTTTTTTTGTTTGTTTTTTGAGACGAAGTCTCGCTCTTGTCCCCCAGGCTGGAGTGCGATGGCGCAATCTCGGCTCACTGCAACCTTTGACTCCTGGGTTCAAGCGATTCTCCTCCCTCAGCCCCCCGAGTAGCTGGGATTACAGGCGCCTGCCACCCCGTCTGGCTAATTTTTGTATTTTTAGTAGAGATGGGGTTTTACCATGTTGGCCAGGCTGCTCTAGAACTCCTGACCTCAGGTGATCCACCCACCTCGGCCTCCCAAAGTGCCTGGGATTACAGGCGTGAGCACTGCACCTGACCAATTTTTGAAGTTTTTTTCTTTTTTCTGTGCTGGAGACGGAGTCTTGCTCTGTCGCCCAGGCCGGAGTGCAGTGGCCGGATCTCTCAGCTCACTGCAAGCTCTGTCTCCTAGGTTTAGGCCATTCTCCTGCCTCAGCCTCCCGAGTAGCTGGGACTACAGGCGCCCGCCACGTCGCCCAGCTAGTTTTTTGTATTTTTTAGTAGAGACGGGGTTTCACCATGTTAGCCAGGATGGTCTCGATCTCCTGACCTCGTGATCCGCCCGTCTCGGCCTCCCAAAGTGCTGGGATTACAGGCTTGAGCCACCGTGCCCGGCCAATTTTTGAATTTTTAGTAGAGACGGGATTTCACTTTGTTGGCCAGGCTGGTCTCAAACTCCTGACCTCAGGTGACTCGTCTGCCTCAGCCTCTCAAAGTGCTGAGACTTATGGGCGTGAGCCACCATGCCCAGCCGAGATGGCCTTACTTTGACACCTTTCAGCTTCTATCCACCACTGTGGGGAAAAGAGAGTAAGAGGGAGGTTAGAGAGAGAGAAGGATGATGCAGGCACTTTCTAGATGTTTCTTTGTAGATGAGGAGAGGGAGACAGAGGAGACGGGGCCCCCTGAGGTCTTGCAAGTGTTTTGCCCCAAATTGCTGTCAACACTGATACGCTGGTGTTCCAGAGAGGGAGTCTGGGGTGAAACTGGGGGCTGATTTGGGATATTTTAGAAGATGCTGGAAATGTCAAACACGGGAGATGGAGAATGGCACTCGGGAGCGGAGAATGGCACTCGGGAGCTCTGTGGGTAGGAGAGAAATGTGGGAGTCGGTGTGGATGAAGTGTGGGCAGAGAAACGGCCCCAGAAGAGGAAGCCAGCCAGGAGGCCAGAGAGGCAGAGCAGGAGTGCAGGGCAAAGAAAGGGCTTCAAGGGCCAGGCACAGTGGCTCACACCTGTAATCCCAGCACTCTGGGAGGCCAAGCCAGGCAGATCACCTGACCCTAGGAGTTCGAGATCAGCCTGGGCAACACAGTGAGACCCCATCTTTTTTTTTTTTTGAGACAGAGTCTCGCTCTGTGCCCCAGGCTGGAGTGCAGTGGCGCGATCTCGGCTCACTGCAAGCTCCGCCTCCCGGGTTTACGCCATTCTCCTGCCTCAGCCTCCCGAGTAGCTGGGACTACAGGCGCCCGCCACCTTGCCCGGCTAATTTTCTTGTATTTTTAGTAGAGACGGGGTTTCACTGTGTTAGCCAGGATGGTCTCGATCTCCTGACCTCGTGATCCGCCCGCCTCGGCCTCCCAAAGTGCTGGGATTACAGGCTTGAGCCACCGCGCCCGGCCAGAGACCCCATCTCTACAAAAATAGTTCAGTGAGTCAAGATCTCACCACTGTACTCCAGCCTGGGTGACAGAGCAAGACTCCGTCTCAAAAAAAAAAAAAAAAAAAAAAGAAGAAGAAGGGGAGGGGACTCTGGGGTTAGCACCAAGAGAGCCACAGGGGAGCTGGATAGGAGTGGTCTTGGGATGGGGGGAGGAAGACTGGGTACAGCTGGGTTTGAGGAGCACCCAGGAGGATCTAGGAATTCTGTTACAAGGGAGGGGAACAGGCTGATGAGGCCAGTGGTGGAGAAGAGCAGAGAGAGAGCGAATTCTCTCCTGGGTTGAAATGTCCTTGAATAGGCAAGCTGGGTGGACATCCCTAGCCTCAGAGAGAGAGGGACTGTCGCTCACTGTAGCAGCAGGTGGACGCCCTCACCCGGCCACTCCTGCTTTCTTGGGGACATGTTGGCCAGATTATCAGTGCAGGAGATGATGACGATGATGGGGACAGCTGGTGTCCAGGAACCCTCAGGAGGGAAGATGCTCCTACATGGGCCAGACAGTGGGGCTGAAGTTCAGTTTTCTATTTTTGTTTTTTGAGACAGGGTCTTGCTCTGTTACCGCAGCTGGGGTGCAGTGGTGCAGCTGTGGCTCACTGCAGCCTCAACCTCCTGGGTTCAAGCCATCCTCCAGCCTCAGCCTCCCAAAGTGCTGGGATTATAGGTGTGAGCTGCCATGCCCAGCCCAGTTTTTTAGACACTGCAGGGGGGTGGCAGGTGCAGCAGAGGTGAAAATGGTATTTACAGAGCTTTGGTGCAAGTCACCAGAGTCAGAGAGAGGTGAGAGCCTCTCAATGGATGGCTGGTCCTGGCAGCCCCTGAGAGGGCAATAGGGGCTTTGGACAGAGGGGCTGAGTCGTGACAAGGATGTGGGAGTGACCACAGGAAGCTACGGGTGTCAGTGTAGGAGAGAAGGGTACTGGCTACCCACATCACCAGGGGTCCCATGAGGGCCGTGAGGAGGACAGGGAATTCAGAGGAGGGAGTACAGATGAGGGGATCCTGGAGGTGAGGCTGCTCAAGAAGCAGTAATGGGGTGAGATGGGGTGAGGAAGAGATCAAGACAATTAATTGCTCTCTGATTTGCTTCATGCCTCCCGAGTTATCTAAAAGTGGTTCTCAGTCTTGGTTTTCTGGAGTTCCGATCCCAATTGAATTTTCGGAACCAGGCAAAGTGGCTCATGCCGAAGGGCTCATGCCTGTAATGCCAGCACTTCAGGAGGCTGAGGCGGGCGGATTGCTTGAGGCCAGGAGTTTGAGACCAGACTGGGTAACATAGTGAGATCCCATCTCTACAAAAAAATTTAAAAATTAGCTGAATGTGACGGTGGGTGCCTGTGGTTCCAGCTACTTGGGAGGCTGAGGTGGGAGGATCACTTGAGCCCAGGAGGTTGAGGCTGCAGTGAACTATGAGCCAGTGCACTCCAGCCTGGGAGCCTGGGCGACAGAGTGGAACCCTGTCTCTAAACAAACAAACAACAAAAAAAAAAACAAAAGAAAAAGAAACAGGCTGGGCGCAGTGGCTCACGCCTGTAAGCCCAACACTTTGGGAGGCTGAGGCAGGTGGATCACTTGAGGTCAGCCATCACCACCTTTGGAAGACACCTTGGGGAGACCTCGCTGATCTCCGGAAAATTCCCGACTCAGGCCAGCTGCAGTGGCTCATGCCTGTCATCACAGCAGCTTTGGGAAGCTAAGGCATGTGGATCACTTGAGCCCAGGTGTTTGAGACCAGCCTGAGCCACATGGCGAAACCCCGTAAAAAATACGAAACTTAGCACAGTGTGGTGGTGCGTGCCTGTGGTCCCAGCTACTAGGGAGGCTGAGGCAGGAGGATCACTTCTTGGGTCGGGGAGGCAGTGGTTGCAGCGAGCCGAGATCGTGCCACTACACACTCCAGCCGAGACGACACAGTGAGACCCTATCTCAAAAAAAAAAAAAAAAAAGAATTCTCAACTCATGCTCAAAGGACAGTAAATCTAACACCCTCCAAAGGAGGCTACTAACGCCGCATCTGCCAGGACGCATGTGACCCTGCCCCAGTCCCCCTCAGTCAACACCAGCTCGAGCCAAAAGTCTTGAAGTCTTGAGTCATCTTTGATTCTTTTATTTCTGTTTCATCTACACCCAAGGCGAATCTGGTGGGTTCTCCCTTCCAAACAGGGTAGGGGGTCTGAGGCTCCTCTGCCTGGCTACAGCCCCGGATGTGTTAAATGTCTGCATCTCGCACCTCCCATTGCAAAAAACGTCATGGAGCTCTGAGCCACTGCTTCCCTGAAACCATCGTTCCCAGGTCACTGATGGCCCCCACTGGCCAAATCAGAGGGCCTGGCTGGTCGGCACCTTCCAGAGCCTTCCACAACCTCCTGTCCTGGCCCCTGCTCAAACACTCCTCACATTGCCTATGAGACACTGCACACCCCGACCCTGCTTGTCACCCAATTCGGCCTCCGTTCATCCCTGGCCCAGGCGCCCGCCTGCCCGCCCCAGGCCTCGGGCTGTCTCCTTCCCCAGGACTCCCTCCTGGGTTGGGCTGAGTCCGAGCTCCCAGCCCCAGCTCCTGTTTGGCTGGGCAGTGGGCTCCCCTGCCAGACTCGGAGGCCAGGACGTCTCAGCCCAGATGGAGCCTGGGCTCCCTCTGCCGCCCTGGGCATTCCTTCCTCCCCAGCCCCACTGCCACCGGCTCCAGTGGAGACATGGGTCGGAGGATGTCGTCCAGCCTGGCCAACAGCTACTCCTCACCACCCACAGGGCCCCAGCTCGTCCACTGCAGCCACACCAGCCACTAGGCCTGGCCCTCAGTGTCCCCACTGCGGAGACCCTGTCTGCCCCTCCCCAGCCTCTCCCTCCCCTTCCTCACTGTCCTATCCTTCAGGGTAGTGGCCGCATTGTCCACATCTTTATTGCAGTCTCTGTTTTGGAGTAGGCTTGGGGGGCAGCATCCGCGTCGGCCTCATCTGCTGCTGGGTCTTGGGGGCCTGCCCATGAGCATGCTCGGACAGGCGACACTAAAGGAGGGAACGCGGGGTGCGGGCCCCTCCACACTCACTCGGCTTTGCTGGGCTTCAGGCTTTGGGCCTCGGCCACGTCGTACTCCCGCAGGTCCTTCAGCTCACGCACCTGGCCTGTCAGCACCTTGGCTGCAAACGCCACGATGTACTGCGAGAGGGGAGGGGAGGTGCTGGTGAGAAGGAAGCTTCCCTCGCCACCGCCCTGCTGACAGCCTTGTGCTCCTGTCCCAGGCCCTCCACACAGGTTGTCTGCCACCTAACGTGCCCCTCTCCGGACCTGCCTGAGGAGGGGACAGGGATGGGGACAAGGACGGGACCGCCACTGTAGAGGAGGGCTGGGGACGACTCACCAGGAACCAGTAGAGGTTCATAAGGGTGAGCAGCAGCAGGAGTGCGTTGAAGAAGAAGTAGAAGGGTATGTCAGGCACCTCGCGCAGACTGCAGTGACAAGTGGCGTACAGGACCTTGAGCGGGAACCAGTAGAGGCGGAACCAGAACCTGCGATGGGAGGAATCGGGAGGCCGTGGGTGGAGGAAGACCACCCAATGCCTGTCCTGTCCCGTCCTGGACCCATCCTTGTCCCCTTTCCCCATCCTTGCCCACCTGTCTCCACTCCTGCTCTGTCCTTCTCCTACCCTGCCATGCCCCGCCCACCTCGCCAAGGCCCCACCTCCTTCCCTGCCCCGCCCCTCCCCTTACCTGCCAGGCCCCACCCACCTCGCCAAGGCCCCACCTCCTTCCCTGCCCAGTCCCTCCCCTTCTCTGCCAGGCCCAGCCCACCGCACCAAGCCCCCACCTCCTTCCCTGCGCAGTGCCCCCATTTCTCTGCCACATCTTGCCCACCACACCAAAGTGCTACCTCTTTCTCTGCCTAGCCCTACCCTAACCCTGCTTGGCCCCACCTCTGGCTTGCTCTGTATTAGTCTAGCTCCTCCCTTTCCATGCCTGGCCCAACCCACCTCACCAGGCCCCTCCCATTCCTGGATCCACCCATCTCACCTGGCTTCATCCCTTTTTCCGCCCAGCCCCACTCCTAGCCCAATTGGCCCCACCCTTGTCCACTCCTTTCCTGTATAGCCCCGCCCCTTCACAGCCCCACCCAAATCACCAGGCCCGTCTCTTGCCATGCCACACCCACCTCACTGGGCCCTGTCTCCTTCCCTGCCTGGTCCCGCCCCCTTTCTGACCACACTCACCTCACCAGGCCACACCTCCCTCCCTGCCCAGGGCTCCCTGCCACTCACCAGCTGAGGCCGAAGCTGAGGCAGCCCAGGTCTGCTGCCAGGGCATGCAGCCGGTGGTAGGAGCCACCGCGGGACTTGAAGTAAATGTTGAGCTTGGTGAACTCAAGCTGCACGTCACTGATATCGTGCAGGAAGAGCACAAGGATGCCCACATTGTGGTACCTGGGGGAGCAGCAGGCAGAGAGGAGAGGGCGGCTCACATTAGGGGACCTCCACTCTGCACTAAGGCCCCCAGCACAGAGTCCCTGGGCTATACCTCAGGCTCCCCGTGGGCCTCTCCAAAGCCACCCTTCCTGGCTCGCCTGCTCTGCCCATCTCCCCTTCCCAGGATGCCCTTTCCTCACTGCCCCCCACTTAGCTATGCACCCCCCAACCAGATCCTCATCTTCCCTGCCTGAGTGTCCCCATGTGGCCCGGGGGCTCCGTGTAAGTTTATTTTTCTTTTGAGACAGGGTCTTGCTCTGTGGCCCAGGCTGGGGTGCAGTGGTGTGATCCGGCTCACTGCAGCCTCAAACTCCTAGGCTCAAGTGATCCTCTCACCTCAGCCCCCAGAGGAGCTGGGACTACAGGAGACCAACACCACACCCAGCTAATTTTTTTAATTTTTAGTAGAGACTGAGTCTTGCTATGTTGCCCAGAATGGCCTCAAACTCCTGGGCTCAAGAGATCCTCCCACCTTGGCCTCCCAAAATGCTGGGATTACAGGCATGAGCCACTGTGCCTGGCCTTGGAAGTTCCTTGCTGGCCCCTCCTCATCTTGGTGACCTCTGACCCTCTGTGACCCCTGACTCTCACAGGCCTGGGCCACTCAGTGTCCAGATCCTCTATAAGCTTCTCCCTCACTTTGGACATCACCACCATGGTGAGACTTCCAGGTCTGGATGTCAATGCAGGAAAGGCCCCAGCCCGTCAGGATCCTTTTTTTTTTCTTTTTTAAACTTTTTTTTTTTTTTGAGACAGAGTCTCGCTCTTGTTACCCAGGCTGGAGTGCAATGGCGCAATCCCAGCTCACTGCAACCTCTGCCTCTCGGGTTCAAGCAATTCTCCTGCCTCAGCCTCCCGAGTAGCTGGAATTATAGGTATGCACCAGCACACCTAGTTAATTTTGTATTTTCAGTAGAGATGAGGTTTCACCATGTTGGTCAGGCTGGTCTTGAAGTCTTGACCTCATGTGATCTACCTGCCTCGGCCTCCCAAAGTGTGGGATTACAGGCTCGAGCCACCGCGCCCAGCCCCATTAGGATCTTAATAAGCCCGAAGACCATCCCCTGTCCTTCTGCAGAGTCTCCACCTGACAGATGCGCTGCCCGAGGGGACCGGATTCACCCTGGACATGGGGAAGTGTCTCTCACCAAGTCCCTGTTCCTTGCTCTGTCTCCCGACAGCTCCTGGGCTCCTGCCACAGGTCCTTTGCACGTGCTGTCCCCAGGACCCAGCATGCCAGTGCCTCATGTTCAGCACCTCCCTTCACTCCTTTCAGTCTCTGCTCATCTGTCACCCCCAGACCAACGCACCTACACCTAACACATCTGCAGCCACAATTTTTTTTTTGGAGACACAGCCTCGCTCTGTCACCCAGGCTGGAATGCAGTGGTGAGATCTTGGCTCACTGCCACCTCTGCCTCCCGGGTTGAAGTGATTCTCCCGCCTCAGCCTCTTGAGTAGCTTGGACTACAGGCACCCATCACCATGCCCAGCTAATTTTTTTATTTTTTAGCAGAGACAGGGTTTCACCATGTTGGCCAGGTTGGTCTCGAACTCCTGACCTCAGGTGATCTGCCCGTCTCAGCCTCCCAAAGTGCTGGGATTATAGGCATGAGCCACTGCACCTGGCCTTTTCTCCATAATTCTTATCACCTTCAAATGAACTGTTCCTTCCTTCCTTTTTTGGTTCTATCATCCGACTCTGCCCTCTAGAGAGCCTTGTCTGATAGAAGTTTCTAGAACTATGGGAATGTTCTAAACCTGTATTGTCCAACATGGGAACCACCAGCCACTTGTGGCCAATGAGCCCTTGAACTGTGGCTTGTACAGCTGAGGAATGGAATGGGGGCTTTTAAAAATTACTTTTTAAACTAACCAGACGTGGTGGCTCACACCTGTAATCCCAGCACTTTGGGAGGCCTAGGCAGGTGGATCACTTGAGGTCAGGAGTTCGAGTCCAGCCTGGCCAACGTGGTGAAACCCCGTCTCTACTAAAAATACAATAATTAGCTGGGTGTGATGTCTTACACCTGTAATCCCAGCTGCTTGGGAGGCTGAGGCGGGAAGATTGCTTGAACCTGGGAGCCAGAGGTTGCAGTGAGCCAATATCATGCCACTGCACTCCAGCCTGGGTGACAGAGCAAGACCCTATCTCAAAAAAAATTGGTAAATAAATAAATAAATAAAATAAAGTAGTTTTAAAAATTTATTTCTTTTTGAGATGGAGTCTTGCTCTGTCGCCCAGGCTGGAGTGCAGTGGCACGATCTTGGCTCACTGCAAGCTCTGCCTACCAGGTTCACACTATTCTCCTGCCTCAGCCTCCCGAGTAGCTGGGACCACAGGCGCCCGCCACCACGCCCGGCTAATTTTTTGTATTTTTAGTAGAGATGGGGTTTCACTGTGTTAGCCAGGATGGTCTCAATCTCCTGACCTCGTGATCCGCTCGCCTCGGCCTCCCAAAATGCTGAGATTACAGGCATGAGCCACCACACCCGGCCTAAAAATTGATTTATTAGAGACAGGGTCTCCCTATGTTGCCCAGGTTGAACTCAAACTCCGGGGTTCAAGCGATCCTCCTGCCTCAGCCTCCTAAGTAGCTGGGGGACTGCAAGCATGAGTCCCTGCTCCTGGAGTTTTACTTAAGTTTAATTAAAGTTGAAAGGGCTGCCTCTTTGTTGCTCTATAGCTGTGGGCCGTGGCTACTCCATTATCGCAGTTAGGAAAGGGCTGCCTCTTTGTTGCTCTATAGCTGTGGGCCGGAAAGGGCTGCCTCTTTGTTGCTCTATAGCTGTGGGCCGTGGCTACTCCATTATCGCAGTTAGGGCGGCTAGTCCCATAGAAATAGTAGAGGAGCAGTGTATTTCATTTTAAAGTTTCTATCAGCCACATTTAACAAGAGAGGGAAAAGAACAGGTAATATTAATTTTAATAAAGGATTCCAATTAATTCAACATATCCAAATTATTGTCATTTCAATATGGAGTCAAGATAACAAGGCCAGGCGTGGTGGCACACGCCTGTAATCCCTGCACTTCAGGAGGCTGAGGTGGGAGGATCACTTGAGCCCAGGAGGTCCAGGCTAAAGTGAGCTACGGTCACAGCGAGACCTTGTCTCAAAAAAAAAAAGAAAGAAAAGGGTGGATAAGATACTTTCACTCGTTTGTATACAAAGGCTTTGAAGCCGGGGTGGATTTTAAGTACACAGCATGGTGAGGTTTGCACAGACTCCATCTGAAAGGCTCAGTGATGGCTGTGGTTGGCTCTGGAACATAAGGGTGCATCAGCTGCGTTCACAGCCGTGCCCCCATTGCTTGGGCATGGTAGGTGCTCAGGAACTCCTGCGTGTGTGACCTGGTTGGTCGAGGGCAGCGTCGGAGGAGCTGGGTGGGTGAGTGGGGTGGGGTGGCTGTGGCTCTCAGGGCCTGTTTCACTCCATCCCTGCGGAATCTCCCTCAGGAATCTCCAGGCCCACATTCCCTCCTCGGCCTTCCTCCCTCTGGCCTGTGCCCTCATCGGACCCCTGAGCACTCCGACCTGATGTGATCCCCTCCACGGCCGCCTCTGTGCCCCGCGGCAACATCATCAGCCTCCGCACTGTGTGGGCTGTGCCTCGGCCCCCTGCCACCCCATCCTGTCCTTACCGGAAGGCGTAGGAGGAGACGATGAGGATGAGAGTGACCACGTGATGGAGCAGCATGACCACCGAGTCCTTGCGCCACGTGTCCATGTACAGCGTGGCGTAGATGGAGTGGCCATAGAAGCTTCCCTGGAGCAGGTAGGCGGCTGCGATGTCCCGTGGCACCGCCATGCCGGGCGTCCAGTCTGGGGAGAGCCAAATCTCGCAGTCAGGGGCCTGAGAAGCCTCTAGACAACCCCACCATGACCCAGTGACACCCTCCAAGCCACACGTGTCCTCCCAGTACCTGGGTATCCATGCGTGTCTGACTGCTGGCTTTCCATTCCCAATTATTGTTATTATTATTTTTTGAGAAGGCGTCTCCCTCTGTCATCCAGGCTGGAGTGCAGTGGAGTGCAGTTGTGCGGTCTCAGCTCAGCTCCCTGCAACCTCCACGTCCTGGATTCAAATGATTCTCCTGCCTCAGCCTCCCGAGTAGCTGGGACTACAGGCGCATGCCACCAAACCTGGCTAATTTTTTGTATTTTTACTAGAGGTGGGGTTTCACCGTGTTAGCCAGGATGGTCTCGATCTCCTGACCTCATGATTCGCCTGCCTCGGCCTCCCAAAGTGCTGGGATTACAGGTGTGAGCCACAGCGCCCGGCCATTTTTTTGTTGTTGTTTTTGTTGTTTTTTGAGACAGAGTCTCACTCTGTCACCAGGCTGGAGTGCAGTGGCACTATCTCAGCTCACTGCAACTTGCACCTCCCAGGTTCAAGTGATTCTCCTGCCTCAGCCTCCAGAGTAGCTGGGATTACAGGCACCGGACACCATGCCCAGCTAATTGTTTTGTATTTTTAGTAGAGATGGGCTTTCGCCATGTTGGACAGACTGAACTCGAACTGCTGACCTCAGGTGATCCACCCGCCTCAGCCTCCCAAAGTGCTGGGGATTACAGGCGAGAGCCACTGCGCCCAGCCTGGAGGGATTTTTATTTTAGGAAGAGTTTGGGTTTTCTAGAAAAATTATGCAGATAGGACAGAAAGTTCCTTTCTCTCTTCTGCCCCAGCATACCCACAGATCTCCATTTCCCTGGCTTTAAGTGGCATATTTGCTACAAATGCTGAACTATTATAGACACATTATTATCATTATATACATTTTAAGTTTTATATGTATTTTTAAATAGATGGTCTTGCTCTGTCACCAGGCTGGAGTGCAGTGGTGTGATCATAGCTCACTGCAGCCTCGACCGCCTGGGCTCAAGTGATCCTCCCACCTCAGCCTCCTGAGTAGTAGCTGGGACCATAGGCACCCATCACCATGCCTGGATAATTTATTTCTTTTGTAATTTTTGTACAGACAGAATCTTGCCATGTTTCCCAGGCTGGTCTCGAACTTCTGGGCTTAAGCAATCCTCCTGCCTTGGCCTCCCAAAGTGATGGGATTATAGGCACCCACCATCTCGCCCAGCCCAGCGCCCCTTCCTGTTTTCATCTTTTTTTTTTTTTTTTTTTTTTTTTTGAGATTCTTGCTCTGTAGCCCAGGCTGGAGCGCAGTGGTAGGGTCTCAGCTCACTCCAACCTCCATATCCCGGGTTCAAGTGATTCTCCCGCCTCAGCCTCCCGAGTATCTGGGATGATAAGCATCCACTACCATGCCTGGCTAATTATTATTATTATTATTATTTTTTGTAGAGACAGGGTTTCACCATGTTGGCCAAGCGAGTCTTGAACTCCTGACCTCAGGTGATCTGCCTGCCTCGGCCTCCCAAAGTGCTGGGATTACAGGCATGAGCCACCGTGCCCGGCCCCCTTCCCATCTTTACCTTAACAGGCCCCTGCCTTGTGGGTGATCTGGGCCCACTCCCTGCAAATCCCCGACCCTGACAGAGGCGGCTGCCCACGGAGTCTTGCCGTGCCCGGGCGTACCATGCCGCCAAGCGCAGGGTCTCCCACCAAGCAGGTCCTGCCTCACCTTCCCCTCCTCCTGCTTCCTGGTGCACCTGACCCCCACACTCAGGTGATAGGGGACATCCCAGCCCACCCCACCACATCCCCCTCCTCCTCAGGACTGCCACATCCCCAGGGCTGCCAGACACCAAAGTCAAGGGCTATGCTCTGGACAGGCATGGTGGCTCATGCCTGTAATCCCAGCACTTTGAGAGGCCAAGGCAGGAGAGTTGCTTGAGTCCAGGAGTTCGAGACCAGCCTGGACAACATGGCGAGACGCTGTCTCTGCAAAAAAAAATATATAAAAATTAGCCAGGTGAGGTGTTGTATGCCTGTAGTCCCAGCTACTCGGGAGGCTGAGGTGGCAGGATCACTTGAGTCCTGGAGGGAGGCAGAGATGGTGGCGAGAGCTGAGATGTTGCCACTGCACTCCAGCCTGGGAGACACAGCCAGACTCTGTCTCAAAAAACAAAACAAACAAACAACAACAACAACAAAAAACAGCGGGAGGCCATGCTGTGCTCTGCCCACACCAACCTGGACCTCTCTGGGTTGCTCCCTGTTCTCTGGCCACTTCCTTTCTGCAGACCCCCAAGACAGACTCTCCAGCCTCCATCTGCGGCTTCCTGGCCCCTGCCTTGGTGACCTGCCCTGCAGCCCAGCTGCCTCCAGATGCCCCCATGAACCACCTCTGCAACAACTTTCATCTCAGCCTCACCCCTTCTGCAGCCGAGTTACACTAGGACCCCCATCCAGGGTCCCCTCTTTGGTCCATGCCACCCCCACCCCGGTCCAGGCACTGCTGTCTCCTGCCCACATCCCCCCAGCGATCCCTGGCCCCCATGACTGTTTGTCCACTATCCTCACTCAGCCCTGATGGCTGTGTACACACGAACGGTCACTATGACCCAGCAAGTCCACTAGGGTGTGTGCCTGAGAATGGAAAACAGGGACTCAAAGAGATACCCTGTCCACAGCAGCACACAACCAAAAGGCAGACACAACCCGAATGTGCATCAATGGATGAATGAAGAATAGATAGGTTACCTCCACACCGTGGAATACTATGCAGCCATGAAAAAGAATGAAGCACGGATCCATGCTACAATGTGGGTGAACCCCAAAAACATGATGCCGAGTGAGAGAAGTCAAACACAAAAGGTCACACAGTGTGAGACTCCAGTGATCTGAAATGCCCAGAACAGGCAAAGCTACAGAGACAGGAAGCAGATTGGTGGCTGCCAGGGGCTGGGGTAGAGGACTGGTGAGTGACTGCTCATGGGGACGGTTTCCTTTTGTGGGGGATGATAATGTTCCAGAACTAGACAGAGGAGGTGGTTGAACAACACTGTGAATGGACTAAAATCTGATGAACTGTTCGCTTTAAAATCGTTAATTTTTGGCCGGGAGGCGGAGGCAGGTGGATCACCTGAGGTCAGGAGTTGGAGACCAGCCTGGCCAACATGGCAAAACCCGGTCTGTACAAAAAATACAAAAATTAGCTGGGCGTGGTGGCGCATGCCTGTAATCCCAGCTACTCGGGAGGCTGAAGCAGGAGAATCACTTGAACCCAGGAGGTGGAGGTTGCAGTGAGCTGAGATCGTGCCATTGTACTCCAGCTTGGGCAACAGAGCGAGACTCTGTTTCAAAAAAAATAAACAAATACATAAAATGGTTATCTTTTTTTTTAAAATTGTGGGCCAGGCACAGTGGCTCACGCCTGTAATTCCAGCACTTTGGGAGGCCGAGGTGGGCGGATCACCTGAGGTTGTGAGTTCAAGACCAGCCTGACCAACATGGAGAAACCCCATCTCTACTAAAAATACAAAATTAGCTAGGTATGGTGGCACATGCCTGTAATCCCAGCTACTTGAGAGGCTGAGGCAGGAGAATCACTTAAACCCGGGAGGCGGAGGTTGCAGTGAGCCGAGATCGTGCCATTGCACTCCAGCCTGGGCAACAAGAGAGAAACTCCGTCTCAAAAAAAAAAAAAAAAAAAATGTGGCAGATTTATATGGCAAAAATTTATCATCTAAGCCATTTGTTAAGTACACATTGTTGTGCCACCATCACCAGCAGTCATCTCCATAACAATCTCCTCTTCCCCAATAGAAACTCTGTTCCCATTAAACAGTCTCTCCCCATCCCCCGCCCCCAGCCCCCGGCGGCCCCCCAGCCCACTTTCTGTCTCTATGAGTGGGATGACTCTAGGAACCTCATATAAGTGGAATCACATAGTATTTGTCTTTTTGTGATAGGCTAAAATGCCTAATTTCAAGTTCCATAAATTTTACCTCAATAAAAAATGCAGGCCAACTGAGGTGGCTCACGCCTGTAATCCCAGCACTTTGGGAGGCCAAGGTGGGTGGATCACTTGAGGTCAGAAGCTCAAGACCAGCCTGGCCGACATGGTGAAACCCCATCTCTACTAAAAATACAAAAAACTAGCCGGGCGAGGTGGTGGGCGCCTGTAGTCCCAGCTACTCAGGAGGCTGAGGCAGGAGAATGGTGTGCACCCGGGACGCGGAACGTGCAGTGAGCCGAGATGGCGCCGCTGCACTCCAGCCTGGGCGACAGAGCCAGACTCCATCACAAAAAAAAAAAAAAGAAAAAGAAAAAGAAAAATTGGGTGAAACTCTGAAATGCCCTGATCCTCTGCATTCTGACTCTCCAGAAACATCCGAGCCTGAGCTTTCGCCCCTGGCCACCTCGCTGGATCTGTTGCCCACCTTTCCAACAGGGGCCCCCCACCCCTCCTGTAGACTTACCTCCCCACAGGATAGGGGGGATGTCCTGGCTTAGTTCAGGGGTCTCAAATCTCCTCTCACTCCTTTTGTTTTTTGAGAAAGGGCCTCACTCTGTCACCCTGGCTGGAATGTAGTAGTGCAATCTTGGCTCACTGCAGCCTCGACCTCCCAGCTTCAAGCAATTCTCCCGCCTCAGCATCCCCGGGAGCTGGGACCACAGGCACGCGCCACCGTATCCAGCTAATTTTATTTTTTTATTTTTTGTAGAGATGGCGTCTCACTATATTCCCAAGGCTGGTCTTGAACTCCTGGGCTCAAGTGATCCTCCCACCTTGGCCTCTCAAAGTGCTGAGATTCCAGGAGTGACCACCACACCTGGCCTGTCCCACCTCTTCATACTCGTGTCCCACCTACTGTTGGGTCACTCAATGCAATCCCTGCCTTGTCTCCATCCCCAAATCCAGAATCTTGGTCTCCCCGATCAGCCCCCATCTCACAAGACCCTAGCATCATCCTCACCCTCTTCCTTTCACACCACCTCTAGGGTGGTAGCAAATACTATTAGCTCTGCCTTCTAAACGTTTCTAAAATTGGCCGCTTTGCTCCCATCCCCTCCCCTCAGCTCAGTCTTGGTGGGAGTCCCTTCGGGCTCCTGCTCCTGCTGTCAGCCCCCTCCTGGACCCCTGGGGTAGATGCCCAACCCGGGGTGACATCCCTCCTCTGCTCCCAGCCCACAGGTAAGTAACGAAACCTGACGGTGGCCTCCGAGGCCTGGAAGGCATGGCCTCCATTCACCTGAACACAAGTCCCTGCCTCTCCTGCCTGCCCCAGGCACCTCCAGGCCCTCACTCAGTCCCCTTCAGTGGGACCACCCCATCCCTGCTAAAAACTGCCCCTCCCCCCTCCCCAACACAGCACACTGCCTCTTCTCTCCACGCGAGTTTTCTCATCCACACTTATTGATGTTGATAGACTGTGTACTTCATTGTCTGTTGCCCCTGCCACACGGCCAGCTTCATGAGGGCACAGGGCTTTCTCTGACCATTCCTAGCTGTGTCTCAGCTCTGGCATACAGTAGGCACTCAATAAATGAACATGGAAATAATCAGCTAACTTGTGAGTATCACTTACAAAAAGCAACTAAGGCTGGGAGAGGTGGCTCACCCCTGTAATCCCAGCACCTTGGGAAGCTGAGGTGGGAGGACTGCTTGAGGCCAGGAGTTCCAGACCAGCCTGGCCAACTTAGTGAGACCCCATCTCTACCAAAAAATACAAAAAAATTTGCTGGGGGTAGTGGCGCACACCTGTTGTCCCAGCTACTCAGGAGGCTGAGGTGGGAGGATTGCTTGAGCCCAGGAAGTCAAGGCTGCAGTGAGCCATGATCGCGCCACTGTACTCCAGCCTGAGCAAAAGAGTAAGACCGTCTGAAGAAAAAAAAAAAAAAAAGGCAGCAGCAGCTAGAGGCAACTCCATGCCCAAAATGTTAAGAGAGGCCAGGCATGGTGGCGCATGCCTATAATCCCAACACTTTTAGAGGCCGAGGCGGGCAGATCACCTGAGGTCAGGAGTTTGAGACCAGCCAGGTCAACATGGTGAAACCTCATCTCTACTAAAAATGCAAAAATTAGCCAAGTGTGGTGGTGCGTGCCTATAATCCCAGCTATTCAGGAGGCTGAGGTAGGAGAATCACTTGAACCTGGGAGATGGAGGATGCAGTCAGACGACAACGTGCCATTGCACTCCAGCCTGGGCAACAGAGTGAGACTGTCTCAGAAAAAAAAGAGAGTTCAATCATGGGTCATCCATCTAAAAGGAAAACTGAGCAACAGCTAACACCTCCCCCCTAGGCGATCAAGGTGTTACATGGGAAAAGTGGCCCCATGGGTGGCACATCCACTGTACACTCTGGGCTCTGTGCCACCAGGAGCCCTCTAGGCTGTTCCCATCACATGGCAGGAAACAGCTATCCCGTGTGTCCCTGGCCCACAGCCCTGGTGGTCCTCACAGGGCAGAGAAGCTGCAGCCCCCTCTGCCCCCATTACAGATGGGATTTCCTCCATCAGCCTGCCCAGTGGCGATGCCGACCCTGCCATGCATTCTCTGCCAGGACAGATCACAGAGAGCATGCCGCCGTCACCTCCCTGCCCAGCCCACCCAGAACTCAGGCCACATCCATTCCAATCAATTGGACACAGCCACTTCTTATCATCTTTTTTTTTTTCCCCAGAAAGGATCTCGCTCTGTTGCCCCGGCTGGAGTGCAGTGGCATGATCTCAGCTCACTGCAACCTCCACCTACTGGGTTCAAGCAATTCTCCCACCTCAGTCTCCCAAGTAGCTGGTACTACAGACGTGTCCCACCACGCCAGGCTAATTTTTTGTAGAGATGGAGGTCTCACCATGTTGCCCCCTGCTCTTGAACTCCTGTGCTCAAGTAATCCTCCCACCGCTGCCTCCCAAAGTGTTGGGATTACCGGTGTGAGCCAGTGAGCCCAGCCCACTTCTCATTCTCATCATCTTTTTTGTTTTTTGAAAATGTCACCCAGGCTGGAGTGCAGTGGCAAGATCTCAGCTCATTGCAACCTCTGCCTCCCGGGTTCAAGCGATTCTCCTGCCTCAGTCTCCCAAGTAGCTGGGATTATAGTTGTCCACCACCACACCGGATAAATTTTTTTGTATTTTTAGTAGAGATGGAATTTCACTGTGTCAGTCAGGATGGTCTCGATCTCCTGACCTCGTAATCCACCCACTTTGGCCTCCCAAAGTGTTAGGATTACAGGCGTGAGCCACTACGCCCGGACCTCTTTTCCTCTTTTGATAAGAGACAGGGTCTCACTCTGTCTCCCACGCTGGAGTGCAGTGGCGTGCTCATAGCTTCCCTTGGCCTCCAACTCCTGGGCTCCAGCGATCCTCCTGCTTCTGCCTCATGAGTAGCTGGGACCACAAGCACCTGTCACTGCCTCGTGTCTTTGTGTTTTAAGCAGAGCCCTCCCGGCCATCCCCTCAGGGCCCCTACCGTAGAAGACAGACGGTGGGTCGTGGAAGAAGGGGTAGTCGGTGCCAAACAGCAGGTAGGCACTGTAGCTCCAGCTGCCCAGGTAGAAGAGAAACTTCCAAGCACTCTCGGGCATCTTGGCGGCATCTCTGGGCTGGAGGCGGCACCGCTTTGCCAGGGGCTATGGGGAAGAAGACGGGCGGGCAGCCATTGGTGCTGGGGGCCAGAGACGACTACTCCAGGGTGGGGAAACTGAGGCCCAGGGACTCCCCAGGCCGGGCAGCACTGGGAAGGCCCGTCCCCCATGCCCACAGCCACCTGGAGCATAAACAGAGCCCACAGGCACCTGCCAAGGCTAAACTTAGTGCCCAGCTGTCCGGCTGGGGCGGTGCTGGGAGGGGAGTGAGGGAGGAGGCTCCGAGGGGAGAGGAGGGGAGCAGGAGGGCTCTGAGGGCCGGGAGGGGGACACTTGGGCTTATGGTGAGGGAGACAGACGGATGCGTCAGCCCAAGGGAGTTGGGCTGGTGGGGGTGACCCATGAAGGGAACATGGAAGGGTTATATGGGGGCATCTTGGGAAACACAGGGAGCCCCATGGGACCAACACAGAGGGGAGAGGAAGAACTTGTGAGGAAGTCGCCCCCTCAGTGGGGGAATTTGGAGAGACCGGAGACTAGAGGGCTGGGAGAGACTTGGGGGAAGGTGTGGTGGGGACATGGGAACTTGGGGACGATGAAAGGGGAGGAGGGGCTGGAGGGAGAAAGAGGGGACAGGACGCGGAAAAGGTGTCACAGGCGAGCTATGACCCTGAGGGGGCAAAGGGAGTGCAGAGGAAGCTGCTGGCTCCAAGGCAGGGGTTAGGGAGTACAGTGGGTGGGTGGGGGGGTCAAGCTCCCTGGGGGCGGGGCTCCAGAGCTGCCCGGCCAAGCCCCGCCCCTGGACAAGTCCCACCCCCTTCCCAGAGGCTGAGGGGGCCGGAGCCCAGAGCACCCAGCAGTTGTCATGGAGACAGCTGGAGCCCGCTCCAGTAACCCCTGGCAACCAGGCTGCTGCCAAGAAGATGAGCTTTGGAGCACCCGGCAGCCCCTCCACCCATTCTTGAGGAAGGGCGAACCTCGAAATGGGGCAAGCACCCCACCCAAGCTGGGGAGGGCCCCCGGGCTCCGCCCTGGTAGTCTACCAGCAGCCACATCCTCCTGTTCCATGGGGGTGGGGGGCCGCATGCCCTCTTGGGCCTCGGGTTTCCCAGCTGGAAATGGGGAAGAAGGCAGGGACAACAAGCAGGATAAAGATCACTGCAGACCCAGGAAGGGGCCCTGGACAGCCCTATCTCCCCCTCCCACAGCAATGGGGTGGCTGGGGTCTCTCCCCCATGTGGGTGATATGGGGAAGGGAGTGGGGAGAGTGGCAGTCAGACAACAGCCCATCCTCGACCTCACAAGGGCCAGCCTCTTCCCGGCCAGCAGAGAAAGGCCCCTTTGTTGGCGCTGGGCACACTGTCCCTGAACCCTCCAGCCAGACGGGCGGGGTGACACCAGCTGGTCCACGGGGGTGGTCCAGGCAAAGCTAAAGGCCCAGACACCTTCCAACCAGCTCCTGCCACAGCGACCCCTCCCCAGGGAAGGGAGAGGGATCAGGCGCCAATGTCACCACCATGGTCACTCCCCAGCAGGGGTGATGGTCTCAGGAGAAACTGGGGAATTCTGCTGTCGCCTCTTGGAGGCAGCACAGTCCAACCCTGAAGCCCCGGGCTCCAAGGGAGCGACCACTGGAGTGGCCAGATCGCCCAGGCCTTTGCCATCCCTGGTCGGAGGGTGGCGCTGACCTCAGACAGGCACAAGACAGCGACCGCGCAGCTCCTGCCTCTTCCCGATTGCAGCGGCCAAGCCGGCCCCGCCGCCGCACGGACCCCGCAGAAAACGGGCAGCGGACCTCGCTCAGGGCCAGGGCGCAGCCCGCATGGCAGGGACGCGCATGGCGCAGGCCGCGGTGCGCCGAGCCCTCCCTTTCCCGGTCCTGGTCTTCTCACTGTCTGGCTCGGCCCTGCCGGAAAGAGCGCTTGGTGGCCGGAGCCATCCACTGCGCGGGGCCCCCTGGTCCCAAACTGACCGGAAAGGGCCGTGCCTCGGTCCCTCACGTCTCAAACATCCCACCTGTCTCGGGCCCCCCATGTCCCAGACTCACCCCAGCCCGGCCACACCCCCGCATCCACCCGGTTCCCCCACGCCGCACTGACTGAAGGGGGCGCGAGGCGGCCCGAGAGACCCTGTCCCGGGGCTTCAACGTCCTGGGCCTCTCCAGCCCGAGGCCCCCACCCACGTTTCGGCGACCCCTTCATCCGCAGCAGCCAGCAATGGAAGAAAGGAACGCGCCGGCGGCCCGAGGTCCCCGGTCCCGGCTTCCCCCAGTACGGGTTCCCCTCGCCCCGGACCCCCGCCACACTGACCCGAAAGAGGCGCGCGGTGGCCGCGGAGCGCAGAGCCGTCCAGCCCAGCGCGCCGAGCGCCAGCAGCAGCAGCTCGGGCGGCGCCAGGTGCGCGTGCTCAGCCAGGCCGCGGCGCGCCAGCCCCCAGCCGCAGTCCGTGCAGCCCCGCGCCGCCGCCAGCGCGCTGCCCCAGCCGCGCCGCACTAGCTGCGCGTAGCTTGGCATGGGCTCGGGCCCCGTTGGCCTCGCCACGGGCTCCGCCGCCGCCATGCCGCCCGCTCGCCCGCCGTCCCCCTCGCCTGCGCCCGCCCGCGGTAGCCGCCGGAGCCGCGCGCCCCGCGTCACGCGCCGCAGCTGGGCCGGGGGCGCGCGGGCGGGAGAGCGGAGGGCGGAGGGGCGGGACCGGCGCAAGCTCCGCCCCGCTGGGGGCGCGGCTGGGGGGCGGCCAGCGGGGACGCTGGGCGCCCTGAAGGCGGGCCCGCGCCCCTGCCCGTTTCCCAGCAGAAAAACCGAGGCACGGGGAGGCGGGGGCCGGAGCTGGCTGGGGGCCCGTTGGACCTGGACCCCGAGAGACTCCGCGCACCGCCGTGTCGCGCCTCCATGCCTGCCCCACGCGACCCCGGCTCCCCCACCCCACCGCGCCGTGCCCGTGACGAGGGGTACGGGGGACACTAGCAGGCAGTCCCCTCGGCCGGCGACCCCCGCCCCTCCCGGCCCTCCAGCAAGCCACGCGGCTCCCGCTCCATCGCCCCGGTCGACTCGGACCTCACCGTTCTCAAAGCCCTCGCTGCTCCTCAAGGACCTGAGGCCTGGCACGCCTTGGCACAGTCTTGGGACCATCCCGTGGCCTTCCTGCATTCAGGAGGCGTAGCCTTAATGAAACATTCTCATTCTTCAAAAGGAAACGGCCCACGCCAGGGCGTTGGGAAGCGCACCTAGTGGAGACGCAGCCCTCTGCCTTACACCAGGAGCTTGACAATGGGGTTCCAGCCTGGATGCGGGGACCCTGGGCACTTCCCAGGCATCTTCTTCTGCAGGTCTGCAGAGCGGGCTACTGGGACAAAGGTGTAATGGGGGCTGCTGAGATTAGGGGGTTCTCTGAGGGTCACTTGCTGCTTTATGACCCTAGGGAACCCCGGGGGCCTCCCCAACATCGGTTAATACAGGAGTTGCAGAGAGGCTGCAGGAGTGGGTGCCAACGTGGGAGAGACTCCCAATCTGGATTGATATGACATCATTGGGACCACCATAAGTGACTTTCCAATGCACCGTACATTGACAAGGCCCTGTGCCCAAAGCCCCTGAAGGCCATCAAGGAAGATACTGGTCACCTCTGTTAGGACCACCACCTCCCCAGGCACTGCTGCACTCCCCCCGCAATCCTAGCCCCCAGGATGTCCCCACACCTGGCCTTCAAATTGCAAGACGCAGGGATGAATCCTGCAGCAGCCGTGCTGTCTCCCACACACCTGCACCTGACCTTCAGGGGCACAGGTGAACACACCTTCCCTTTGCCCCACACCCAGTCCCCTACAACACATCCAGGTGGCCCTGCATCTGGCTACTTCTCTGCATTGCACAGCCTTGCCCCCAGCCCCGACCACCACTACCCTCTGGGGTTCTGTCAGGTATCCTGGCTTCCTCCTCTCCCCATGGAGGCGAAGAGGAGGCTGTGACCCCGTTGGGCCTGTTCCTCTTCTGTTTGCAGCACTCCGTGGCTCCCGCCCACTCAGGGAAAGCCCAAGTCCTCACTGGCCACCCTCACAGCGTCCTGTTTCCCTCCATCTGTGGACTTTCTTGCTGTTCTTCCAACATGCCAAGCTCTGTCCTGCCTCAGGGCCTTTGCACTAGCTGTTCCCCCCACCCCCGGAAATGCTGTTCCCCTAGGTACCGGCATGGCTCTTCTTTTGCCTGCTTAGGCTGCCACCGAATCTGAAGTCCCACACACCTCTCATGTCTGCTTGGCACTTGTCACCATCTGCCCCTACATACATACAGCTCCTCCTTATTCTTTTTTTCTGTGTTGGAGTCTCGCTCCGTTGTCTGGACTGGAATGCAGGGGCGCAATCTCAGCTCACTGCAACCTCCACCTCCCGGGTTCAAGCGATTCTCCTGCCTCAGTCTCCCGAGTAGCTGGGATTACAGGCGCCTGCTACCACACCCAGCTAATTTTTTTATTTTCAGTAGAGACAGGGTTTCGCCATGTTGGCCAGGCTGGACTCGAACTCCTGACCTCAAGTGATCTGCCCATCTTGTTCTCCCAGTGCTGGGATTACAGGCATGAGCCACTGCACGTGGCCCCACTCCTTATTCTTGAATGTGGACTCCATATGGACTGGGGGCCTACTGTGTGGGGGGCATGAGGCCTGGCCTGGCCAATAGTTCAGGTCCAGCTGGAGGCCAGAGATGTGACTAGCGCCACAACCTGCCTGGCAGGCAGAGGGGGACGAGGGGGATGTGCTCTCATAGGTCCAGCCAGGCCTGTGGGGCAGCCGTGGACGGTCCCAGTCACCTCCCTCCACCCTCTCAGTCAGCATTATCTGGTCACCATGGCACCCATCGGTCATGGGAGAGGCGCCACCCACCCACCCACTGGCCCCAGCTCAGCCTCGAATTTCTTTTTGGCGGGTCCAGCCAGGAGACTGCCAATGGGTGGGTGCAGGGCAGGAATGGAAGGCGGCTCTGCTGGCAGCTGGGGACCAGGCACCCAAGGCTGGGCAGAGGTCAGTCTTGAGGCCGGTGTCCCCGCACCCACCCCAAGGTCTCCTCCCTCCAGGAAGCTCGGCCTGGACCCCTACTAATGTCCCTGCCCAGGGAGTCCTCTTTTGCCACTTCCCTCCCCTACCAGGCTGGGGGTGGGGTCGCTTGCTGTCCTGCCCTGGCAACAGGAGACAGGGTCCGGTTTCAAATGAATAGGCCTGGGTGGGGCTTGGGGAAACCCTGGGAGATACGCCCAGGCCAGGCTCAGAGGTCAAAGGGCATGCATCCCCATCCAGCACCCCTTGACCTCACACCCCTGTGCCACCGAGGAACCTCTGTGCCAGTCATGCCCACTGCTGGGGTGCCAGTCCCCCCAGAACTTAGCCTGGCAGCTCCTTTTTGTTGTTCGGGTAGACACAGCTCAATGGTGACTTCATCTGGGAGGCTCTAGTCAGCCCCGCTGCCACCCACCCACCTCCCTCCCTATAGTGCAGCCGCCTCTCATCGCAGCTGGGTGCTTGGCCCCAGGGCCCTGGCCACAGCAGGGCTCTGCCCTGGAGGAGGGTTTGCGGGGCGGCGGCAGGAACAGCACCTGGGGTTAATGCTGACCCCGCAGGGCCCCTCCGGCTTTGCTGAGCTGAGGCCTCAGTGCTTCCTGCCCTGGCGCCCACTACCTCCAGACCACTCGGGGGTTCTCATTTTGAATCTTGGTGCCCCTCATGATAGTGGCATGACCGCTCTGTGCCTCAGTTTCCCCCAATGCCAATCTAGGCTGCTCAGTGGCCTCCTGGGGCCAGGGTGAAGTGTGGGGACAGGGCTGTGCTGCCTCTGGCTTGGCAGGAGCAGGGTGTGGCTGTGTGAGGGGCGGGGTGGCGGTCTGCACAGCTGCTGCTCGTCACAGACCCTGGTCTCCGGGAACAGCCCTGGGGGCCCGTGCCCCAGGACTCCCCCTGAGCGTCAGCTCCCACACACCCCCAGCAAAGTGGCCAGAGCACATCCTCAGGTGGGAACACGCTGGAGCTGAGATATTTATTCACAGAGGGGAGTGCTAGGGGCGGGCTTCTGCCCCAGAGGGGATGTGGGGTGTGTGCCAGGTGGGGAGGGCTGCAGGGCTCCTGGCCTGTCCTGGCTTCGTGGTCCTGACAGCTCTGGGCCAGCCTCAGGCGCTGGGAGCGTACTGCAGCACCAGCCTGTCAAAGTCGTTCTCCTTCAGCAAGACACATGGCGACACAGGGTGGGGGCGGGGTGTGGGGAAACGGGTGGAGGGAGAGAGAGAGGGCGCATGTGAGCCCAGGCTGAGCTCCAGGTGCCCTCTGGCCTGGCTCTCAGGGACAGGCCACCCCTGCCACTCACCTTGGCCTGGTACTCCTTGATGAAGGGATGGGACCTGTGGGCATCCTTCAGTTGGGAAAGGTATCGGTTTGTCACCTGCAGGGGAGGCAGGAAGGCAGGTGAGTCAAACGTGGGGACCCCACGGTGGCTCTGACCTGCAGCACGGGGTGGATGGGGGTGAGAGCCACAGTACCCCAGGGTGCTCCTCATCCTGCCTCGGGACTGGGCTGATCTCGGAGAACCTTCAGGGTGGGGGTGGAGGGATGGGTCGGCTCCTGACAAGGCGCTGGCGTGGAGCTGGCCTCTGTACATGGTGGGGAATGTACTGTGGGTTCAGGGGAGCAGGTCAGGCAGGGCCCCAGGTAAGGATGGGTTGGGGGGGCGCAGGGTGTGTGAGGGAGGCAGGCTGCGGTGGGCACACTGTGTGCAGAGCTTTCCCAGGAGCCTAGGGATTAGGGCCTGGACCCCAGGATGGGATCCCAGGGTCGGGATATTAGGGTTGGCCTGGAGCCCTGGGGGCCACTTACCTCAGGGGGTTTGCCCAGGTGCTGGGACAGGACAATGAGGTTGACCAGTGTCTCCGGGTAGCCACTGTCCTGGAGACACAGGCAGACACAGGCAGGCAGGGTCAGCCACTCCAGCCCCCATGCCTGCCTGTCACCCCCACCTTGGGCAGGACCACACAAGGTCACCTCCTCAGAAGTGGAGTGGGATTGACACTGCCAGAGTCCCCCTGCCCACTGCTCTGCAAGTTGATCTCAGATGGTACGGTGCCAAGGGGCCAGCCACCTCACTGAGCCTCAGTTTCCCCATCTGTGGTCCAGCCTGGGGCGTGACCCCTCGTTTGTAGAGAGAAGGGTGTATTTGTCCCACACATCTCGAAAGCAATGGGGCCCAGGCCCAGATGGCCTCAACTCCTGCTGCACAATGAACCCTGAGGCCATGGGCGGACCTGCCACGCCTCTGGCTCCCAAAGAGCCTTGAAGGAAACCTCGGCAGGGGACATTGCCTGACCCACTCACTCTAGGCTCCCAGCACACAGGACCGTAGGAAACACCTAGGCCAGGAGACACAGCCAGAGCCCCGGTGTCTGCTTGGAGCACAGATGCACCAGCCAGGATGGGCCCAGAGCCCAGCCTGCCCACAGCGGCCGATGGCAGGGCACCTTTTTGGAGAGCGAACTTTTCTGAGCCTCAGTCTCCACCACGAAGGGGGACACCAGCTTGTGCTCACAGGAGCAGCCATGAGTTGGCTCCAAAGGTAAGTGGGGGGACCTGAGTGCCTCCCAAAACTCAGCAAGAATGCAGGCTAACCACAGCCACAGG